GAGCTTGCTGTTCCGTATTGGTGGATTCCATACGACCGGTAAAGTTAAGCGGGTAAAAGTGACCCAGGTATGATTGAATTCATGGCGCGAGGTGGGGTGTTTGTAGCTCAGGTGGTTAGAGCGTTGGCTTCCGATAAAGGCCTTCTCTACTATGCGCCGAACGCCTCGAGTTTCTTCACAATTGGGTCAACTCAAATTAAGCAAATCTGCCAAACCTCCTAATAATTAATGATAAATTAAATAATTGAGTGTCAGTCTGCTAAAAGCTGGTACTGGTGGTCTTCTGTTATTCTAGTGAAGAGATTTTTTTAAAACAGTCGCCATAACTTCTGGGCGATTTCAAACCAGCACACAATGTGACTTACTAATTATAGAGGACTATATCGGGCGTCCAGATGAGGTTAACGGGCAGGCGAATGCTTGTTAGTCCCTTAAAGTCCTTTGGGTTCCAGGTTAGAACTTCGTCTCTCCATGTCTAGAAAGAAAAAGTGCGGGTGGTTAGTTGGAGAAGTCCCCGCTTTCATTTGGCCCGAAAGGAAGCTGACTAGGCTTCTGAAAACGACAATATACAATCCTACTATAGCAAAGAATGTGGACAAGATTGGAATTATTGGATTCTAAGTTGTATCTCGTTGTCATGCCGGAAGTTTACGCTCGAGTGAAGCTGGTCATTTAACCAAAAGTTAGGCAATTCTATAAAAGCTAAGGTAGATGAATAAGTAGAAAATAGGGGCTCCTGTATGAGGGGAAAGACGATAATACTAGTGTTATCATCCCACCGTTGATGGAGAAATGTCCTTCAAACATTCGAAGGTCAGAATTGTTCATATGCCTACTCCAAGACAGAATGCGCGATTACGAAAATCATCCCTCACCGCCTAACATAGACGGTCTTGCGTTAAATTCCAGGAAGTTTACATATTCCCATAACCCTAATCTTAACCCGACCCTCAAACCTAACCTGCACTTTCCCCTTGAATTTATTGTGGTTTTTTTTCCATGCACTGCCGGAGGGCGGAGGCATATAAGGAACCCCATAGGGACGCAATAAGCAAACTCCACTCTAGGAATAAACGATTTGCCAGCGTGTACTATGCGACCGTATTACATACCCTAACTTTATCCATTGTGCAAGATGGAGTAAGCATTCCTTGTCGTGTTAGTCGGGTCGCGTAGTAGATTGCTGGCCGTGGAAAGATGAATTATCCCATGCATTTCCAGGGGGAGAATATAAGTAATCCCTTAGCATGCGGGTTCCGCATAACGGTGGAGGACACTACAGGTAGGCTCCCACTACTCGCAGCATCATCCTACGGAAAATGCCGTCAGTCTGTGAACTTTGCTTTAAAAAGACTTGCTGACTTTTAGACGTATCCTCTGAATGCCGGCGTTTCCTAAATAGTTTTTTAAATTGTTATTCTTATGCGGCATTTCATAACGGTCAAGCAATTAGCTGATCGAATTCTTGATGGTGTTGTTCATCCCCTCCACTCTGACCGCGAAGTCCTCCCAGTCCATGCGCCGAGACTGTCTGACATATCCTTTGCCGTACCTCGACGTATCGGCGTTCTGTACTGCCATTTTGGTGACTAACTCCACGCAGACAATCATCGCGCCAAGGTTCACCGCCGCCAACTGATGCACATGTACCGGCTGCCTACGCCCGTCTGTCTAGCCAATCAGCCATCAGGGCCAACTCACAAGGACCTGAATGAGGGGACTGTCCTCCAAACCGGGACTTCGGGCCAAGCCGCCCTAGGAGATAGACGGGCATCCCCGACAGTCCACTTATTCCTACTTATTCTTCATTCCTTCTGTACAGAATATACTGTTCCTACCACTCTGGCCTCTCATGACTTCTCTTCTCCTACGGAACCGAACCTTAAGATCGCAGTTGCTGGGGTTTAACTTAATTAACCTCCTGCGATACCACCTCTAGTACGCTATTTCACGCGTAAAGAGACTAAAATACAGAATGATCTCCCTGATATACGTGCATTTTAGTTAAGCCTTTTGATTATTGCGTATTTTGTTAGTTCATCCTCTGGTCTGGAGCCATTTTGTGCTGAAAATTTTGGATGCTACTAGCAAAACAAGGCGCACTCCTCTCGCCCTCTCAGAAAGCGCAGGGTTTGCGTGTGTGACGTACAATTTTGTTCCAGACGTTAATAGTCAACATCTGTTCCTTCTCATCCAGATCCATCAGTTGAAACAAGGAAAGGCCGAACGCCACCGAGACTCTTTGGCTGTGATTACGCACAGGCCTGCCGATGTGTCCGATATCATCGTACTTCTTGAGGAGGTAATTGATCAACGGATTTTCAACGGACGGCGACCAGGACCCAGCTGTCGAAAGGCAGAAATAGACGAGCATGATAACCGGATATCGGGGATGGGGGTGAGGAATATCAACTCTATGAGTCTATTTCTTGGTAGAGATACTCTTTGAATCGGACTCGCACAACACACAATCAACAACTTTGTGAAATTCGTTTTTTGGAAAGTTTATTTTCAAATCATCAGGTAGTCACCGGCCCATCCTAGCTCACCAACTGGGGATACGCTTCAAGTTGCGAAGGGATTATATTTCGCATTTGGCTGTCTACCAAATCTCGCCAATCAGTAGGGAGTAGCTTATAACAGCATGCGAAATACAAACCAGAATAACTTAAGCCATCACTACTGATCTCGCAAACAGCATCCCTACGATTGAGGTTGAAGTCGCCAAGGAATTAAAGCCCTGGACAGTTATGGAAAGGCACAGTCCATTTTAGTTATATATTACATCTTAATGACGAACTAACGAAAATACATCAATGTATACATTGGTAGCTCTAGACTGCGAACTGATCAGGAGGAATCGCGAAGGTTTGGTACGAGTCATTACAAATGTCTACCATGCTCTCAAAAAAACTTTTCTTTCATTTTCTACTTAGTTTAGTGCATTATTTGTACGAAAGAAATGAATGGGTGAAGGGCAACAGTAGTTTATGTAGCGCACCTCATAAATCCCTAGTCCTAGCATTTTGTCCTACGAAAACGGTGGTCATAGGGGTTTTATGGGTGGGGCATTAGGATAGGCAGTGGAATATACTTTAATAACTCCTACATGCATTTTATTTTATTGTATTTAGAAATATTGTTGATTTATATCTCTAGATTTTCCTAATCCGTATTATCGTTTAACTTATTGCGGAAAACCCCGTTTATCAAAA